GATTGGCTCCAGCGCCCCCGCGACCCTGAAAAGGAGAAGCGGAAGGATGGATTCATATGATACTGATGACAGATTCTTAGGCTAACACACTTATCTCTCCTGTTTTCTTTCCTCACAAAACCGATAGATCCTCCACATCTTTGAAGAGTCTCCCAGCGCGATTCTTAGCATATTTTGGTTCCTGCAACTGGTCCGTCGGGTTATTGTTTCCCCAGAAACACTTCCCTTGTGCTTTTGAAAACATGTTTTTTCCTATTTCTGTTGTGTTTTGTGTGCTTTTGCAGCGTCTCTCAGGGCCACCGTAGGTATCTCACCCACTTACTTAAAAACAAAGAAAACACACACCCTGCAGTTTCATTTAGGGACTACTTTCTTCCCACCGTCTACATCCGCTAAAGCAAAGAAGCGCGCAGCGAGCTGACGTCACAGCTCGGCCGAACTGTTCGCACTCCAGGGCGTCAAATTGTGCCGTCAGCGATGCAGCTGCAGCAGGATGTGACACTCTGAGGTAAGAAGGCTCAGGTGGATGCACACTGACATGGTTGGTGGAGGCAGTTTGGTGGAAAAGAAGGGTTAGGATGGAGGCTCCTCCACGAAACCGCTCACAGAGGATTTGGTTTGTGGATGTTTTCTAGCATGACACTGAGAACTCACAGGAAGCCTACACAGGTGGATCAACAGGAGACACGTGCATTTGATTTGGGGAACACCTGAACTCCAGGTGAGAGGCTGATCCCAGGTGTACCCTGGGCTAATGCTAGTGTTAGTGATTATCTCCCTGGAAGCGAGCAGAAAGCAGCTCAGGTTAAATAAAAGCAGACACACAGCCGGAGCTACAGGTGCTCCTGCTCCAAACACTCTGACTCCGCCCTGCCACGCCTCTCTCGCTGACTCCTCCCTCATAGATGTGAAGCTTTCTTTTCCTCACACACTTTAAGTACCTGGGGTTGAAAGTCTCGGTAAGTGCACGGCGTTTCGGCGGGTACACCAGCTTCCGCGAGCGTGACGCTTATTTTGAGCGATGAAAAATTAATATAATTGTATTTTTATATCACAATAATCTTCCAATGTAGAACTACAAGTTAAAAAAGCACTAACATAAGTAAAATACACTTCAGCTAAATACTTGTTTATTACTAATTTATTTTCCCAAACCACGCGGAGCCGCAGGTTATC